CTAGTGGAAAAATAGGGAAGTTTTGTTATATAGAGTGAACAGAGGCAAAGAAAATGAAAAACCATTGCTGAAAAACATTACTTGGTCTTGTCCATAATAATATTATATTTTAATAGAGGATGGAAGTGTGGAATTGTCTTTTATGTTTAATGGCAGTCATAGGAAGAGGAAATTGCAGTAGGATGTGCATAAACCATCACAACACATTGAGGGATCCCAGGGGAAGGCTTGTGATGGGGGAATCACATAAGCAGGTGCATAATGTCATGTTGTTGTCTAATGATAACAAAGAGCCCTTGCCAGTTTCTGAAGACAGACCTGCATGGCTGTAGCTTATATTTTTGTTTGGAAGAAAGAGAAAGTGGACAAAATCCGGAGTCACCTAAAATATAATTTGTATGCTATGGCCTGAAACTTCAGAAATGATCCATAAATATGACCGCGAAAGTAAACAAAATTAAAAATGTTTTGTAGGTCTTTATGAGGCAAAGGCATAAATGAGATTGTATCAGAAGTTGGGGAACACGGGAGGGGCTGCTTCAAGGCCTGCAGAATTTACTGCAAGTTGATTGAAAATGGTTTTAAAAAGAACCTGGAACTTATAAATGGGGTTGGAGGCTTGGTGAGCCATGGCAGCTTAGAGAAAAGAGAGGCTCTGAGACAAACTCAGAAGTGCCGGTTACGACGCATTGCATAGGGGAGGGAGAGCCACACAAGGCACTTGAATCTTCCAGAGTGACTGGTAAAATCTGTTTTAGAACAAATGCATTAGATGCCATTCCATATTATTAGAACTTCCAGAATATTAGAATGTTCCAAATCTTTGCTCAGAAAATAACCTTTTGGGGCAATACAAGGGATTCTTGTACTGATGGAGCTACTCTGTGTCTTGAAGGTATCCATGTCACTATTGGAGTTGTGATACTGTACTGTAGTTTTGAAGATGTTATCATTGGGGGAAACTTGGTAAAGAGTACAGAGGTTTCTTTGTATTATTTCTTGCAAGTGCATGTGAATCTACAATGATCTCAATAAGTTTAATTATAAAAAAGAAAATAACCTTTGGTTATAATTTCACTTTTCATGCAGGTATATCTATAGAAAGAAAATATCCTAGTCAAAAAGACCCACGAAAATGTCATCTTCTCTTTAAGTTATTTCTCACGTAGATTCATCAACTGGTACTAATGTTGTGGGCTTGGTGAAAGTGAACCCACTCCAAGAGGTGCTTTCACTCTTAGAATGTAAATAATACTAGTTTTTGGAGTGTGCAAGGCTGAAGACCAGAAACTGGTACAGTTTTCAAGGTAGTGTTTACTACCCTGGAAGACAGCCTTCCTGTTCCCTCCAAGAGAATGTCTAATAAGTGTGTATGGCACTGCATGTTTCTTTTTAAATTTTATATGTTTTGTTGCTTATGGACTTCAAAAATCAGCAAATGGTCAATTTTGAATCCAACAAAAACATTTGGGAACTTTGAAGTATCTCAAGAACTGAGGTGACCTCCGAAGTCCAATAATAATAACCAATTACCAGACACTGTGAATCCTTGGCACAATGTCCTAACGATTGTCCAGCCAATGCTTGAATCCCCGTAGTGTTTAGAATTCACATTGCCAAAATAATTTTTGCATTAGCTCCTTCCACCTTAGGCCTCCGGCACTTTTTCCTCATTGGGATCATCTGCGAATGGAATGAACCGAAAGGAATTCCTGTGAGGTTCCTACTCTTAGCCATCTTTTCTCCCAGTGCTTCGTCCTAAAAAAAATCACATTAAATTTATTATAAGCTCTGGCATCTGCCTTCCTACTGAACAGATGACATTCTTACCAGGCATATTTCTTCTTCCTAGCCATTGCAGACTTTAAGATGCTCACTGTTTCTCAAGATCTTCGTCACTGCCTTTATTTCTTTACTTTTTTTCACTTTTATTTTAGGTTCAAGGTTTTTTTTTTTTTATGTATGTAGTTTCAATCTTGTTGCCCAGGCTGGAGCACAGTAGCGTGATCTCAGCTCACTGCAACCTCCGCCTCCCGGGTTCAAGTGATTCTTCTGCCTCAGCCTCCCGAGCAGCTGGGATTACAGGCATGCGCCACTATGCCCGGCTGCTTTTGTATTTTTAGTAGAGGTGGGGTTTCTCCATGTTGGTCAGACTGGTCTCGAATTCCTGACCTCAGGTGATTCACCCACCTCGGCCTCCCAAAGTGCTGGGATTACAGGCATGAGCCACCGCCACCGGCTGCAGGTTTGTTATATAGGTAAAATGCATGTTGCAGGGTTTGGTGTACAGATATTTTAGTCACCCAGGTAATCAGCATAGTACCTGACAGGCAGTTTTTCGATCCTCACCCTCCTCCCACCCTCCATCCTTAAGTAGACCCAGGTCTCTCTGTTGTCCTCTTCTTTGTGTCCATATTTACTCAATTTTTAGCTCCCACTTATAAGTGGAGAGAACATGCAGTATTTAATTTTCTGTTCCTGTGTTAGTTTGCTTAGGATAATGGCCTCCAGCTCCATCTATGTTGCTGCAAAGGGCATGATCTCATTCTTTTTTTAATATCTGTGCCGTATTCCATGGCGTACATATACCACATTTTCTTTATCTAGTCTACCATTGATAAGCATTTAGGTTTATTCCATGTCTTTGCTATCGTGAAGACCATCACTAACCTTATTAACCACATCTTCTGCTTTGTTAGAATTGAGTTCACGGAACTTTTGCTGGATATTCACAATCTTACCATATTCTATTTTTTTCCCATTTCACCTCAACTTTGTTTTTTTCATTTTAACTGAAAGTTTTTGGGCAAAAATCTATATAGCCATGATATGATGGAGTGTGTTTGGATATCAGTTTGCTTTTTTTTTTTTTATTGTGCTTTAACATCTGTGATACATGTGCAGAACATGCAGGTTTGTTACATACGGTATACATGTGCCATGGTGGTTTGCTGCACCTATCAACCCGTCATCTAGGTTTTAAGCCTGGCATGCATTAGATATTTGTCCTAATGTTCTCCCTTCCCTTGACCCCCACCCCAGACAGGCCCTGGTGTATGTTGTTGCCTTCCCTGTGTCCATATGTTCTCATTGTTCAACTCCCACTTATGAGTGAGAACATGCGATGTTTGGTTTTCTGTTCCTGTGTTAATTTGCTGAGGATGATGCCTTCCAACTTCATCCACATTCCTGCAAAGGACATGATCTCAATCTTTTTTTATGGCTGCATAGTATTCCATGGTGTGTATATGCCACGTTTTCTTTATCCAGTCTATCGTTGATGGGCATTTGGGCTTGTTCAAAGTCTTTGCTATTGTAAATGTGTTGCAATAAACATATGTGTGCATGTGTCTATAGTAGAATGATTTATATTCCTGAGGGCATATACCCAGAAATGGGATTGCTGAGTCAAATGCTATTTCTGGTTCTAGATCCTTGAGGAATTGCCACATTGCCTTCCACAATAGTTGAACTGTTTTACATTTCCACCAATAGTGTAAAAGCATTCTGATTTCTCCACAGTCTTGCCAGCATTTATTGTTTCTTGACTTTTTAATAATCGCCATTCTGAGTGGCATGAGATGGTATCTCACTGTTTTTTGATTTGCATTACCTAATGATCAGTGATGTCGAGCTTTTTTTCATATGTTTGTTGGCTGCATGAATGTCTTTTTTTGAGAAGTGTCTGTTCATATCTTTTGCCCACTTTTTGAGGGGCTATGTATTCATCTAAGAAATCTTCACCTAATCTACAGTCCAAAATCTTTTTCCTGTTTCCTTCTAAAAGTTTTGTAGTTTTAGGTTTTGCACTTTGGCCAATGATCCATTTTGAGTTTATTTTTGTATATATGTGATGTATAAATCAAAGTTCTATTTTTTTTTTCTTTTTGGTCATGGATGTTTAATTGTTCCAGCACTGTTTATTCAAAAGACCATAGATTCTCTGTATATTCACTTGCCACCTTGTCAAAAAATCAATTGATAATATACGTGTGAATCTCTTTCTTGTCTCTTAATTTTTTCCATTGATCTGTATCTCTCATTTCACCCGTACTTCCCCCAAACAGCTTTGTTTTGGAAAGCAGAAAAATGTTGTATCATTTATGCAACACATGTGAGTTGCTTTAACTCCCTCAACACTGACTTCCTCAGCTTGAACGTGTGGTCACTTATACCTACCTTTTGGGATTGCCTGGGAAAGAGAGAGAGTGTGGACGGAGCAACTACCTCAATACCTAGTGTATAGCAGGCTCTCAGTAAACGTCGGCAACTCACCCATTGATTCCCCCTGTTGGAAAGTTAATAACCTGGCAGAGAATTCCAGATACATCCTCTAGGAAGATCACATATCTCTGTCACATCAAGTGGTTCACTCACCCAAAGCACTTTCATGTCTCTTAAGAAGGTGGCCACAGCCACCTTCTTAAGTGTTCTCCCAAAGCTGAGTTAGGTCTTGTACTGCTGCATCCCCTGGCTATTCTCTTTCTTATTCAGTTTCTCATCAGAAGATCCAGGATCTCTCATTTGGGAACTAGTCTATTGCCCATCTTGACTTTAAAAGTACATAATTTCTTCCCATTTTCTTCTTTCTACCATTTCTCCCCCCCCCCTTTTTTTTTTTCCTGAAAACTCTGATTTCGACTTCCTTTAGCATAATTGACTTTATCTTCTTTATCTCATAAAACACAGGAAGTTATTTTGTTTCCTTTTATGGCCCAGAGATCATGATTTGATCAAAAGGCATAAATCCATTGCATGGTTACCTTAATTCTTAGGGTTCTGTACAAATTTATCTTCCCTTAACGAAGTTCATGTTAGGAAACAAAATTGCCCCAAAGTTTGGGAACCCAGGAAGCATTCCCCAAAGTTTGGGAACCTTGTGTGCTTTGCAAAGGTGATTCTTAATCCTAATTTCTGTTAAGGTAAATGAAATGATACCCAGATGCTCAACCATGACAGCAAAGAGGAGGTTCCTCCTGGTGAGGGTAGGGCCAGGAACACCCATGGTGCTCACACTAGTTGTTGGTGACAGATTCTTCAGTGGTGGATCGGAATCCAGAGATGTAAAGCTCTTTTCATGGACTAGAACACTTTTAAAATTTTTGTTTATTTTTATATTTTATTTTACTCTAAGTTCTGGGATACATGTGCAGAATGTGCATGTTTGTTACATTGGTATACATGTGCCATGGTGGTTTGCTGCACCTATCAACCCATTATCTAGGTTTTAAGCCCCTCATGCATTAGTTCAGTGTCAGAATGTTGTTTCTCAGAAAAGCTTAGGGAATGTTTCTTGGGGACATAGGAATTTTGACAGAATGTTTCAGGAAATATGTCTCTGGTGGGTGGTGGGTCTGCAGCAAGTGGATCAGCAGCAGGAAGGCTGGTAGCAGCTGGAGACACAGCAAGGACTGCAGCAACAGCTGGGGCGACAACAGGTGGTCCTGTAGCAGGTGGTCTGGCAGCAGGTGGGACGGCAGCAAGGCAGACAACAGCTGGACTCGTTGCAAGTTTGGCTACAGCAGCTGGACCCACCGCAGGCTGGCTGGCAACAGGGTGTGCTGAAGCAGCTGGTCACACAGGATGGTTGGCAGCAGGTGGGCTGGCAGCAGGTGGTTCTACAAGTGGTTTGACAGCATGTTGGGCGGCAGCAAGGCTGGCAGCAGCTGGACCCACAGCAGGTGGGCTGGCAAGAGGTGTTCCTGCAGCAGGTGGTCCTGCAACAGGTAGTTTGATAGCAAGTCGGGTGGCAGCAAGGCTGACAGCAACTGGATCCATAAATAGGCTGACAGCAGCTGGACCCACAGCAAGAGGGCTGGCAGCAGGGTGTGCTGCAGCAGGAAGGCTGGCAGCAGCTGGTCACACAGGTGGGCTGGCAGCAGGTGTTTTGACAGCAAGTTGGGCGGCAGCAAGGCTGGCAGCAGCTGGACACACAGCAGGAGGGCTGGCAGCAGGGTGTGCTGCTGCAGGTGGTCACACAGGTGGGCTTCCAGCAGGTGGTCCTGCAGCACACAGGCTGACAGCAAGAGGAACAGCAGTGGGTCATGGTGTCAGGGATGGAGGGTGGGCTCCTGTTCAGAGGTGAGTTTCCAAGAATCTGATGACCCCTTCTAATATCTGGACCTTTTATACACTGGTTCCCAAATTTGGAACCAATGAGCAGAATTTTCCTGGTTATTATTTATGACATTATTTTTCATCACCTATAGGGAATTGCTCAGGGAGGAAGTGTTCCTTAAGTGCTATGAATCTTCTGAAAATAAATGATTATTCTACTTAATAACAGATAACCCATAAGAACTTGTTTCCAGAAGTGAGAGAGGTGATCAACATCAATAGCATCATTTAACTAAAGCATATATTTTTATTTATTATCATTTTATTGTTATTATTATTTTAGAGACAAAGTTTTGCTCTGTCACTCAGACTGGTGTGCAGTGGCGCAATCACAGCTCATTGTGGCCTTGAACTCCTGAAATCAAGCGATCCTCCCAGAGTGATGGAATTACAGGCATGAGCCGCTGTGTCTCCCCTGAATTATCATTCTTTAAGACAGAGTACGTTGACTGATCCCCTGACAACTGAAACTAACTTGAAGCGGCCAGAACCATTGTCACCACTTACATTTTCCCCTCCAGCACTGGAACATGGTGATTAACTCAAGGTGACAAATGTAAACCATATTTTAAAATATTTTGAGTTAAAATTTAGTTTTTATCAAATTTTTCATCTGTGTCACACAAACACAGATTCAATGATGCTAATTCTAATAGTAACAGCAACTCCACTTGGGTACCTCAATTCCTGCAACAGGGGACTGGGTTCAATTGTAACTGACATCTTTTCCATGCTGAGCTCCACATCTGTTGATGACCCTGAGTACAAACAACATGCCTGGGTACATGATGTTTATGTTTAGTGGTACAAATAAAAGTTTAAAAGCAGTTAGTCAGAAAATTAAAATATTTTGCTCTGAATTGCAGTTTAAAAATACACACACCATTGTGTGTTTTAAATGCAGGAACAAATGGAACGAGAATGACTCCATCATGTGTATTAACGGGGAAAAGACAGAATAAGTTGCATAATGTTTTGGATGCTTAGCAATTTCCATATCTGGCTAATCTTTTGAAATAAAGAGTTTCTTATTTTCACTGGCAACAAAATGGTCCTTTGATACAGCTTGATTTGCTCTGACTTAAATTGTGGCTAAAAATTTCTGCCATCTCTGCTTCTGAGGCATCCTGACTTTAGCTGCGAAGGTAGACACAGCCCCTGTTTGCTGGTCCAGCATATGGGTAATGGCATTGCCAGTTCATCCTATAAAATGATCTGGTGCAGTTCATTGAGTCAGAATGAAGTTATAGTGAAGGAGGGGATGGGGTGGAGTATTCTTCACTTTTGTCTCCATCCTGAGAATGGATTTGGCACATAGTTGGAACCAAAACACGATTATTGAATGAACAACTTTACGTTTACTAGCCTGATTTTTTTTTTTTTTTTTTTTTTTTTTGAGATGAAGTCTTACTCTGTTGCCCAGGCTGGAGTGCAGGGGCGTGATCTTGGCTCACTGCAACTCTGCCTCCCGGGTTCAAGCGATCCTCCTGCCTCAGCCTCCTGAGTAGCTGGGACTATAGGTATGTGCCACCACTCCCAGCAGCTAATTTTTTGTATTTTTAGTAGAGATGGACTTTCACCATGTTGGCCAGGCTGGTCTTGAACTCCTGACCTCAGGTGATTCACCCACCTCAGCCTCCCAAAGTGCTGGGATTACAGGCATGAGCCACTGCACCCAGCCCTAGCTTGGAAATTTGGACTAACAACCATTTGCCATAGGAGTGGAGAATTAGGGCATTGGTTTGGAAAAGAAACAAAATGAACAATTCTATTCTGAAGAAGTTAAACTTGAAGCCACGTGCCTTAAATGTTTTTTAGCTTCTTTGTAATTTACAAGTGTGCTGTGCTGATTTCATTAGCAGCTATTTGCTATAACGTACTGGGGTCTAATTTTTTGGGTATTAACATATCCATGTTTACATCTATTTTAAGTACTGTCCAAATTGAAGGGCCTGTGGCTGTGCAGCTCATTTAGGAGCAGGAAATTAAATGGTTGGAACACAAAAGAATGACTCGTCCTATGCTCAGAATATCAAATGACACACTCTGAAAAGTATAAGAGGGAATGGATGAGATGATGTTAAAACAAAAAAGGAAGAAAAAATGGTGCTTTTAGGGACAAATAGCTGATTAAATGGGAATTACCTTTGCACCCATTTTAAAAACCAAGGCTAACTGCTACAATGTCATACTTCAATCAGAGTATCTGATCATTTCTCTTTAGGTAAGATAAACAATAGCAAGAAAATAACCCAGGTTATTTGGCAAGTCTTCAGCAGGGTAGAGAAGGAAACTTGGAAAGAAGAAGGCTTATGAACTTTGGTACCTTAGGCTACTGAAAACCCACATCCAGAACGTCCACCTTCTGACATCATGGTCAGCTCCTGCTGCAGCTCCTTCTGCTCTCACCAGAGGCGTGATTAAGACCTCTGCCAAGAGATCTGCTGCCATCCCAGCTGCTGCCAGAGCACCTGCTGCAAGACCATTTGCTGCTACTGCAGCTTCTGTGGGTTCAGTTGCTACCATCCAGTCTGCTGTCACACCACCAATCTCCTGTGGATCCTGTTGTTGAATTTCACTCCTGACCACCAGCCTGAGTCAACCACCACGTTGAAAACATAGTCCTTTTAAAGAGAAGGGTTATCTCTAAGCTGTCTCCCCTGCCTTCAGACAGAGAGGGCTAACTATCTCTAAACAAACAAATGACCATAGAACTGTGACTCAGTTAGACCAGAATCCCAAGCCTATGATACCTGCACTTGTTTTGACCTTGACAGTGACTTCCTTATGATACATTCATTATGTCTGCAAAAGCATTAATATTCTTGTTGGCATAAACAGTTGGGCCACATTCAAACTAAGTACAAAAAAACCTGTTATAAATAGGAAAATGATAAAACCACAATCATAGCAGAGACTTTAAACACACTATTTCAAAAATGGTCATTTGAAGAAGAAAAGTAAACAAAGATATGGAGAATTTGAGTAAAATCATTAATAACTTAGATGCAATGGATTTTTTATACCATCTTATGCCTAACAAATAGAATTTTCATAATTTTTATATATATCCCAAATAGTCATAAAATATATCCATAAAAATATATTCCAAATATGTTCTTGTATCCTTTCTTCCATCCCCTCTTCCCTCCTTCCTGAATAATTCGGTCTAAATGGAAAGTAGGTGTCTGCGTGGGATAGGGATGGCCTAAAGAAATAACATTCTTAATTTCTTTTTTTAAAAATAACATCATTTTGCACTTACAAAAAATTTGCAAGAATAGGTCAAAGAGGTTTCTTTAGTGATAAAAAGAAAGTGATGCTTCACTGCCTCTAAGCATGAGTGTGTGTTGCCTACATCAAGGGCTTTCCCTTCTATAACCCCAGTAGAATTTAAAATCAGGCTTTATTCTTGCAAACAATGTTGCAAAGAATACCCGTGAACTTATATCTTGGAGCATATGTATAGGTGCGTGTGTTGAATACATTTCTAGAAGTGAAACCGCTCAATCAAAACACATGCACATTTCAAAATATGGTAAATTAATTCAAGATACTGTTAAATTTCAGACTCTGTTAATTACCATCTAAAGAAGTTGCCTCAATTTAGATCCCTGCCAACTGTGTATTAAAATGTCAATTTCCTTATAATTTTACTAATTTATTGAAGTTTTTAAACTTAAATATTTTACATTTGTCACCACAAATAGCAAGTATTCACTGCCATATCCCCAGAGCATGCAGTAGAAGCTGGCACACAGTAAGTATTCAATAGATGGTTTGATGAATGAATAAGTTGTTCAGTTAAGCAATGACAACAAAAGCCAAAATTGACAAATGGGATCTAATTAAACTAAAGAGCTTCTGCACAGCAAAAGAAACTACCATCAGAGTGAACAGGCAACCTACAGAATGGGAGAAAATTTTTGTAATCTACTCATCTGACAAAGGGCTAATATCCAGAACCTACAAAGAACTCAAACAAATTTACAAGAAAAAAACAAACAACCCCATCAAAAAGTGGGCAAAGGATATGAACAGACACTTCTCAAAAAAAGAAATTTATACGCCAACAGACACATGCAAAAATGCTCATCATCACTCGTCATCAGAGAAATGCACATCAAAACCACAATGAGATACCGTCTCACACCAGTTAGAATGGCAATCATTAAAAAGTCAGGAAACAACAGGTGCTGGAGAGGATGTGGAGAAATAGGAACACTTTTACACTGTTGGTGGGACTGTAAACTAGTTCAACCATTGTGGAAAACAGTGTGGCGATTCCTCAAGGATCTAGAACTAGAAATACCATTTGACCCAGCCATCCCATTACTGGGTATATACCCAAAGGATTATAAATCATGCTGCTATAAAGACACATGCACACGTATGTTTACTGTGGCACTATTCACAATAGCAACGACTTGGAATCAACCCAAATGTCCATCAGTGACAGACTGGATTAAGAAAATGTGGCACATATACACCATGGAATACTATGCAGCCATAAAAAAGGATGCGTTTCGTGTCCTTTGTAGGGACATGATCATTCTCAGCAAACTATCACAAGAACAGAAAACCAAATACCGTATGTTCTCACTTATAGGTGGGAACTGAACAATGAGATCACTTGGACATAGGAAGGGGAACATCACACATCAGGGCCTATTGTGGGGAGGCAGAGGGATAGCATTAGGAGGTACACCTAATGTAAATGACGAGTTAAAGGGTGCAGCACACCAACATGGCACATGTATACATATGTAACAAACCTGCACATTATGCACATGTACCCTAGAACTTGAAGTATAATAATTAAAAAAAAAACACCTTAAATTATGAGTGAGACTAAACATCTTTCAGAAGCTCAAAAGGCATTTAAATTTTGTTTTTTCAGTGAAATGACTGTTAATATCCTTTCCTCAATTTTCTGTTTGGTTGTTGGCTTTTTTTTTTTCTCATTGAGTTGTAAGAGGTATTCATACATTAAGAAAATTAGCTCATTTATTTTTAGATTGGCTAAGGTATTATAATTTATTTTCAGCTTGTACGGCAGCAGGTGGTCTGACAGCAGAGTGGGCGGCAGCAGCTGGACACACCACAGAAAAAGAAGAACGCCTTCTTCTTTTTCAACCAGGCATTTACATTTTTTTCTGTTGCAAATTTTTTCAATCCTTGTCTTCATTGCTATTAAGTTTTTCTGTATTAGAAAATCCACTCCACTTCTAATATTTTAAGACAATTTCTGCTGTTTTCTTCTAGTCATTTCACAGTTTATTTTTCTCAGAAGTATCTTCAGAAAACAAGAAACACCATCCCATTTGAGGACTGCTGTGATACACACAGTTTCCAGGATGACACACGGAATGCTGAGTTCTAAGTGATCTGTCACCTGACAATCGGCTGGACAAGTAAGATTACAAGTATTTGAAATTAGATGATACATAGAAGAAGACAAGAGGAGGAGGAAAGACTGGATTGGCCAAACCCTAACACAGAGAAAGAATAAAAGTGCATTCCACCTTTTATACAGATTTTTTCCCACAATTAACTAATTTCATAATTGCCTATCTATTAAGATAAACAAAAACAAGGAAATAGCTTTTATGTGGTGACAGCAGCCCCTCGGCTGAGTATAAAAGTGGACATGGGATAAGGGGACTCCCACATTCGAAAAACTCACGGTCTTGGAAACCTACCCAGAACCTCCACCCTCTGACACCATGGTTAACTCTTGTTGTGGCTCTGCCTGCTCCGAACAGGGCTGTGATCGAGGCCTCTGCCAAGAGACCTGTTGCCGCCCCAGCTGCTGCCAGACCACCTGCTGCCGCCCCAGCTGTGTTGTATCCAGCTGCTGCCGCCCATCCTGCTGTCAGACTACCTGCTGCCAGACCACTTGCTGTCGCCCCAGCTGCTGCCGCCCCATCTCCGCCGCCCCATCTGCTGCTGGGTGACCACTTGCTGTCGCCCAGCTGTGTCACTTATCTGCTGCCAGACCACTTGCTGTCGCCCCAGCTGCTGCCGCCCCATCTGCTGTCAGACCACCTGCCGCCCCAGCTGTGGTGTGTCCAGCTGCTGCCGCCCAGTCTGCTGTCAGACCACCTGCTGCCGTACAACTTGCTGCCGCCCCAGCTGCTGTGAATCCTCTTATTGAACCTCATATTGGACTATCAACCATGAGCCAGCCACTATTACACCAATATGAAAGTGTCATTTATACCAACTTGTCCATGTGTTAAATGGCCACCAGCTTTATTATCCTGTTATTCCACTAAGCAACTGGTGAAAGGGCATCCATCTACATTTCATACCACTCATTTTTCCCGTGGAACTCTTTCCAGTATTCAGACCTCAGATGCATGATGCAGCTGGACTAAACCTCTAAGTCTCTGATTGTTATGCTTGACTTGACCTTCAAAATTACATATTAACTGTTCTTCAATAAATATTATCTTAACATCAGAAATTCTGTTATCTTTTTTTCAATTATTTTTGAGCATTGGTTGTCAGTTTATTTTTTAGCATTATTTCTCTCAAGATAAAGACAAGTTTGGGTTCCCCCATGACCAGGAAAGAAAGCTGATTTTGTAAATATAATCTAATGCCTATATTATAGAAAGGACTTCATAAATTTTTCAAAAGAAGATAGCTCACTGTATTTAACTAACAAAAGTTTTGTATTCAATCAATAAAATGATTGATTATCTGTCATGTTCATTGCACTGTTGGGCTTTGGAGATCACATCAAGATTTGGGAGGCACAGGAGCTTCCTACAAGGAGCTCACCATCTAATCTTGGAATAAGAAGAAAGAGCAAAGGAGATAGATTATGTTGGGTAGTATTGATCAGAGGAGAACTTTCCATCTTGGAGAAGAGTAAGACATAAGGAATAGATATATACACACATTTAATAATAGAATGAGTTAAGTCAGTACAGGGAAGATGTACAGGTCACAGACCCATGAAATGAAGAGGAGGAAAACATAGGAAAAGGTTTACATTCTTATGAGGATAAGAGTGAGACGAGCTAAGAAACAGTTGCTGTTGACCAAATGTGGTGGAGGTTAAACTTCGCTGGCCTCATCCCATCACCTCTAAGTTAATGATATGAAAGTCATAGGCAAACGAGGAAGCTCTTAGTCAAAGGTGGAGCCACACATGGACAAGGAAATATCCTCTTTGGGGAAGAGTCAGGGAGGAGTTGAGTAAGGATTTGAGTGGTAGGCAATGGTAGAGTTGTAAAGGAGAAGGACTCAGGCTGTAATTTTAAGCTGTGAGCTAAGAACGCACTCTTGGGATATGCTTAGACTCTACAGGCTTCTTGTATCTCAGGTAAGCTTGGTCATATTCAGGCAAGCAAAACGTATGTCTCCTGTAGCCACATGGCTTTGGTTGTTCTGCCTGATGTCACTTCCACATGAAAAAAATATATACTTGAGCAAAATACAGGAGTCAATAGAATAAAAATTATCCTAAGGAAAGGACCAAAAAAATTATAGATGTTCTAAAATGGGGAAATAATATCCTTTTCAGTAATGATAATAATCATGAAGGATCATAAAATACGGGCAGGAGTGCAGTAAGCAGTAATGCCAAGCCTGTCAAGGTGAAGCATAGATGCAGTGGAAAGTCATTGCAAATGATGGGGTAGCCACTCTGCTCATGGGTAGACAGCAGGAAGGTAAAGCGAGAAATATTGGTAGATTTCTCATTTTGATTAGTATAATTGCCATAGTAATGCATTTATACTTAAATACCAATTACTGTCCACACTTGTCTGGGATAGGCGAAGCAAATTGTCAAGAAATGTTATCTGTGTTGTCTCTACAGCTTGTGTCGCCGTGTTTAGAGCAGCCTCTCATCTCCCCATGACAAGTGAATGTCTTACCCAAGGCAGCCTAGCTCCAAGGAAGACCTCTGGTTGTTTCCTCTGTTCTTTAGCAACTGCTTTCCCTTTGGAAGTACAAACTTATCACAGTTTCTCATGTCTTCGAGATAATTTCCATTCCATAACCAAATAATATCAAATGGCCAAAGAGTTAAGGACTTTAGTTAGAAGCAAAACTTAGACAAGGACGAAGAAGAAAATGGCAAAAATTAAAGTACATTATCATATCAGTAGAGCAATACGGCATTAGCATCATAAAGAAAGTCACAATCTTTTTTTTTTTTTTTTGAGACGGAGTCTCGCTCTGTCGCCCAGGCTGGAGTGCAGCGGGGCGATCTCAGCTCACTGCAAGCTCCGCCTCCTGGGTTCACGCCATTCTCCTGCCTCAGCCTACTGAGTAGCTGGGACTACAGGCGCCCACCACCAAGTCTGCCTAATTTTTTTGCATTTTTAGTAGAGATAGGGTTTCACCGTGTTAGCCAGGATGGTCTCGATCTCCTGACCACGTGATCCACCCGCCTTGGCCTCCCAAAGTGCTGGGATTACAGGCGTGAGCCACCGAAAGTCACATTCTTAAATTCAATATTTGATTAGTAGTCATTTACACTGAGGCAGTCATTGCTGTCTCATTAAGATTCTCATTGCACGTTTCTTGCTTGTTAATACTCATGCAAGTGTACACACATCTGTTTCAAATGGCAAGGGCTGAGAAATCTGTCAATGCAAACTCTGTATGATTGTGATTTTGTTCCTTTATCATTAACAGTTTTGTAGTATATAAAAACTGCATTTGTTTTGTTTGACTTTAATTTCGTTACTTCTTATGCCAGTTGCATCAATCAAAATATGGAATATTTCCATCACCACAAGAATCTCTAATGTCCTTTTATAATCACACATACTTCCCTCCCACTTCCACCTTCTTGTTAACCCCTTGAAATCACTGATTTGTTCTCCATTTCCGTAATTTTCTCATTTCAAGAATTACATATAAATGGAAACATATAGCATGAAACTTTTTGGACTTGCCTATTTCACCCAGCATAATTTTCTGTTGATTCATCCTGGCTATTGAGTGTATCAATAGTGCATTCTTTTTTGTCACTGAGAAATATTCCACAGTACAGAGATACCACAGCTTGTGTAACCATTCAACCACCAAAAGACATCTGGTTGTTCCCAGTCTTTGGCTATGGTGAATGAAGTTGTTATAAACATTCATGAACAGGTTATGGTGTACACATGTCTTCATTTCTCTGATATAAATGTCAAGGAGTGCAATTGCTAGGTCTTATGAGAGTTGCATATTTAGTTTTCCAAGAAACTGCCATTTTTCCAGAATGGCTATACCATTTTACATTCCCACCAGGAATGTATGAGTGATACAATTTCTCCACGTCCTTATTAGCATTTGGTGTTGTCTCTTTTTTATTTTAGCAGCTATGATAGGTGTGTAGTGATATCTCCCCTGGTTTTAATTTGACTTTCCCTAAGAGCTCATGATGTTGAACATCTTTTCATGTGTTGCTTTGCCATTCGTATAAATTCTTCAGTGAAATAACCCTTCATGTCTTTTGTCCATGCTCAAATTGGACTCTGCTTTTTTATTGCTGAATTTGAGAGTTCTTCATATATTCCAGAAACTAGTACTTTGTCAGGAATGTGGTTGACAAATACTTTCTGCTACTCTATAGTCGCCTTTTCATCTTCTTAACAGCATGTTTCACAGAAAAAAGGTTTTTAATTTTCACGGAGTCCAATTCATCAATTTTGTCATTTATGAATTGGTATTTTCAATGTTAAGAGTAAGAAATATTTGTCTAGCCCTAGATGCCCCAAATCTTCTCCTATGTGTTTTCTCCTAAAAGTTTTACAGTTTTATGTTTTACACTTAAGTCCATGTGTAAGTCCATAAGTCATGCATTGTGACTTATGTTTGTAATGAGGTGTGAGATTTAGGTAGAAGTTTGTGTGTGTGTGTGTTTTTGTTTGGGGGATATGTATGTCCAATTTCTCCAGTGCCATTAGCTGAGAAAGGTTATCTTCCTCTATTGAATGACTCCTTCACCTTTGCCAAAAATCACTTGGGGCTGGGCTTGGTGGCTCCTGCCTGTAATCCTAGAACTTTGGGAGGCTGAGGCAGGAGGATCTCTTGAGGGCAGGAGTTCAAAACCAGCCTGGCCAACATGGTGAAACCCTGTCTCTACTAAAAATACAAAAAATAGTCAGGCATTGTGGTGGGCACCTGTAATCCCAGCTACTCAGGAGGCTGAGGCACGAGAATCACTTGAACCTGGGAGGTGGAGGTTGCAGTGAGCTGAGATCATGCCATTGCACTCCAGCCTGGGCAACAGAGCAGAATCTGTCTCAAAAAAACAAAAATCAGTTGGGCATATTTGTGTAGGTATGCATCATCACTGTCTTTTAATTGGTAATTCTATTCCTATCATATTTATTGTAATATGTTTAGCCTCAGTTTTTAAAAGCGCTTTATTGATATGTAATTCACATACTGTTTAATTCATCATTTAACATATGTAATATATTGTTTTTACACAAACAACTTTGTGCAACCATCACCATAATTTAATCCTTCCTTTCTTGCTTTCTCCCTCCCTCTCTCCCATCTTTCTTTCCTTCCTTTCTTTTTCTCTCTCTCTCGCTCTCTCTTTTTCTTTCTTTTTCCTTTTCTTTCTTTCTTCCTTTCAAAATAGGGTCTCTGTAACCCAGGCTGGAGTGCAGTGGCACAGTCATAGCTCACTGCAGCCTTGAACTCTGGGACTCCAGTGATTCTCCCACCTCAGCCTTCTGAAGAGCTGGGACTACAGGTACATGCCACTACACTCAGCTAAATTTTTTTTATTTTTTACTTTTTGTAGAGATGAGGTCTCACTATGTTGCCCAGGCTGGTCTTGAACTCCAGGCCTCAAGTAACCCTCCCACTGTTATGCCCAGTCCGTTTGTTCCCCAAAGAAGACCACCAGAGTCCAGAGTCAAAGCCAAGCAGCAAGGATCTTTTACTACAAGTTCGAACTTGGTCCCTCCATTCCACAGCATACAAGAGGGCCCCGAACAATGCGAGTGCTTGCTTTTTATAGCCCGATGTAAACAGGATATGTAAAGTTACAGGGGAACAAGGTAATTCTCTCGGTTACAGCATTACAATTGGTTAATATTATACATTTAGCATTTTTTATTGGTTCCCGCTGTGTCCTTATCGGAGATTTCCCAGGTGGTGTTTTTTTTGAAGTTTGAGAGAAATATGGAGGAATGCGTTTGTGCTGGGCTCAGGAAGTTGAGAGATATATGATGGGTTGTGTTTGTGCTGGGCTCAGGAAGTTGGGAGATATATGGTGGGTTGTGTTTGTGCTGGGCTTGTGCTGGGCTCAGGGAGTTGGGAGATATATGGTGGGTTGTGTTTGTGCTGGGCTTGTGCTGGGCTCAGGGAGTTGGAAGATATATGAGGAATGTGTTTGTGCTGGGCTCGTGCTGGGCTCAGGGAGTTGGGAGATATGGGGAGGAATGTGCCTGTTTCCTTTCATTACCTTTGCCTCCCAAAGTGCTGGGATTACAGGCATGAGCCACTGTGCCCAGCCCTTGATTTCTTTCTATTATATTAAGTGGATTTTTTCTTAACATATTAATTTCTTTGAGTGTGTGTGTGTATGTATGTGTGTACAGTCTAAGGCTTAAGATATGCACCTTAATTTATCAGAATGTACTTCACGTTTATGCTTAGTTTCAGTGAAATATAGAAACTTTATTTTTATGTAGCTCCAGCTCCTTTCCATTTTTGTGCTATTA